TTTTTGTTTGTATTTTGTTTGTATAGATTCACTATAAAGAGTTATTGATCATTCTTCAAAATTGCTAACCTGAACTTCAGTTAAAATGAGCATGTTATTATGTCTTCTACCAAGTAGTCCAGACTTGAATTCTCACATATTGGACTTTGATGTCATTCATATTCTATGTCAGTAAGAAAGTCTACGGCTATACTACTGAAATGAGCAGGCAAAATCAAAGCTGCGTGGCCGAATTCATCCTCTTGGGCTTTTCCAAAAACTTTCCTGAGCTCCAAGAGCAGATCTTTGGGGTTTTCTTGGTTATTTACCTGGTGACACTGATGGGAAATGCCATTATCATAGTGGTCATCTTCCTGGACCAGAGCCTCCACTCCCCCATGTACCTCTTCCTGCAGAACTTATCTGTGGTGGAAGTGAGTTTCAGTGCAGCCATCATGCCTGAAATGCTAGTGGTCCTGTCCTCTAAGAAAACAACAATTCCTTTTGTTGGCTGTTTTGCACAGATGTATTTCATTCTTCTTTTTGGTGCGACTGAGTGTTTTCTCCTGGGGGCAATGGCTTATGACCGATTTGCTGCAATCTGCCATCCTCTGACCTACCCAACCATTATGAACAAAAGTGTTCTTGTGAAGTTAATACTTTTCTCATGGGTCTCAGGGGTTATGGTGGCCACTGTGCAGACAACATGGGTATTTAGTTTTCCTTTCTGTGGCCCCAGTGAGATTAATCATCTCTTTTGTGAGACTCCCCCAGGGCTGGAGCTTGTTTGTGCAGACACCTTCCTGTTTGAAATCTATGCCTTCACAGGCACCATTTTGATTGTCATGGTTCCTTTCTTGCTGATACTCCTGTCTTACATTCGAATTCTCTTTGCCATCCTGAAGATGCCATCAACCACTGGGAGGCAAAAGGCCTTTTCCACCTGTGCCTCTCATCTCACATCAGTCACTCTCTTCTATGGCACAGCCTGTGTGACTTATTTACAACCCAAAGCCAGCTACTCACCGGAGACCAAGAAACTGATGTCACTGGCTTACACACTGCTTACCCCTCTGCTGAATCCACTTATCTACAGTTTGCGCAACAATGAGATGAAAAGGGCTTTAATGAAATTATGGCGAAGAAAACTGGTTTTACACACAAACTGACTTGTTGAAAGGCTGTCACCCAACTTAATTGTACTTCAATTTAATAAACAGATTGTCCTGGGCCTTTAACTCAGTGGTTTTGCCGTTTGCTGCGCAAGTGCAAGGGCCCGAGTTCGATCCCCAGCACCAAAAAAAAAAAATTAATAAACAGATTACTTTTCTTGGTGAGAATGTTTTTTTGTTGAGTTCTCCAAGTTTGAAAATATATCAGAGGATCCCTTTATTTTAATACTCTACTGCTATCAATATTTTTAAAAGATACATAAGCTCCAATAGCATATGACCCAACAGTGTATGTACACATTTCTCTAATATGGGCATACAGATATTGTCATTCAGATGTTGCTCCAGTATGTATGGTTCAATACGTTCATGTATATTGATACTTTTGTTCCTGTGTGATAGATTCCTCAAGAGGGACTGATGGGATGAATCATTTTGTGCTTATATATTTTAAGAGGTATTAGAGAATTAATTTTCAAAGTAATTGTAACTATTTCATATTCATCTGAAGGCCCACTGAGCCTTACTAGCATCGGAGCTTCAAAAGATCCACAGAATGATGAGATTTTTATTCCTGGATGAAAAATATGTTCCTTGAAAGAGATTTTTAAAATGCATTTATTGGGGGCCTCAAACTAGTTCTACTTCATAGACTTTCACACATTATAATCCCAAACTAAATTTTTATTAATATTTTTAAAATATTTATGCAGTGTTATTGATCAGAGAATTACACTCCATGGAAAGATTCATTAATTCACTCTTGGCACTGTGAGTATCATTTTCACCTATAGACTGCTGCTTTAAATATTTTTGTTAAAGTTTTGCTTGTAGGCCAAAATGCCTCTAAGATGTTTCATTCATAAATAATGAATGATTCATATTTTTATTGTTTATTGTGTGAAACAAGTATAATTAATTAATTGCACCTATTATCTAAGGCTCTTGAGTTATATTACTAACTGTATGGCTTTTTTTCAGAATGAGAAATTTTACACTTTGTAAAGTTTAGAACATTTTATGCTTGCATCCCATTTTAATATTGTTGTCAGAGAATGGTACAGGACCCATTTAGTGAATCTGCATTACATGAGTTCTATTGCTTGGAATTTCTGCTTCTGGGATGGTGGTAAACAGCAAAACACTTCTCATATGAAGCTGTGATTCAGCTGAAGGAAAGGCCATTTTTTATGTACAACTACTTTGGCCAGAGATGAAAAGTGGAATTGTGTGAGTGTGAGAGAGAGAGAGAGAAAGGAAAGAGAAAAGAAAGGGGAAAAAAGAAAAGAAAAAGAAAAATTTGAAAAGAGTAGGAAAAAAATTTAAAATAAGAGCAAAAAAATCACCAATAATAATTTTGGAAATAAAAAAATGAAAATGAAGGGCCTCCTTCAGGGTATGTCTCTGCTGTCACAATAGACAACGTGGGCAGCGGTGTGCATAAGTCAGTGAGTCTCAGCAAGCCAGTCGCAAACCCATGGGATTCGGGCAGATTTCTGGTGGCAAGTCCCAAGTTGAGCTCCCTGTCCTCCTGCAGGGTTGAACTCTGCAAGGTTGTACTGCAGGTTCCAGCTGCCCTTCCCCTGAGGATAGCCCAGGTTGTGATGGGAGGTGATGATCCCTCCAACTTACCCAGTACGGTGGTCTGGTGTCCCTTGTGGCTTTGTAGTGTGGAACCAGGTAGTGGTACAGACAGGAGGCCAGAGGCCGGGGGCGGGGGGGGGGTCCTTCAGGCGCCCACGTGGCTAAGCGATGGCTGCCATGGGTGTGGCCAGTGGCGAGGGCTCCTCACCTTCTGGCTGGTCCCCACTGGTGTGCTTGGAGGGGGCTGGATGGAGCGGTGCTCCTGGCAACCCAGGACCTCTCTCTCCGGTGGGCTAAGTCTGTTTGCTGATATCTTATTGAGGATTTTTGTGTATGTTCATTAGGGAGATTGGCCTATAGTTCTCTTTTTCGTTTGGGTCTTTCTCTGCTTTTGAGATCAAGATGTTGCTTGCTTCCAGGAATGAATTTGGGAGTATTGCTTCCCTTTCAATTTCATTGAAAAGTTTAAAGAGTAGTGGCCATAGTTCTTCTCTACATGTCTTGTAGAATTCAGCAGTAAAGCCATCAGAACCTGGACTTTTCTTGGTTGGTAAGTTTTTAACTACGTTTTCAATTTCATTGATTGATATTGGGTTTTTTAGAATTGTTAGGTCTTTATTCAACTTAGTAATTCATATATATTTAGAAATCTGCCCATTTTTTCTGTCTTTTCCATCTTATTGGCATATAGGTTCTCAAAGTAGGTATTGATGATCCTCTGGATTTCTGCTGGGTCTGTTGTAATTTCACCCTTTTCATTCCTAGTTGCATGGATTTGGGCCTTTTCTTTATTTGTTTGTTTGTTTGTTTTGATAAGGATGGCTAAGGGTTTGTCAATTTTTTTCTTCTTTTGAAGAACCAACTCTTTGCTTCTTTTATTTTTTGTATCATTCTCTTAGTCTCCATTGCATTGGTTTCTTCTCTGATCTTTATAATTTTCTCTCTTGTATGATCTTTGGGTATGTCTTGCTCTTCTTTTTTTGGAAGCTTGAGATTTAGCATTAGGTTGTTTATTTGAGCTCACTCTGTTTTCCTAATGTGTATTTAGTGTTATGAATTTCCCTCTCAAGACTGCTTTCATTGTGTCCCAAATTCTGGTATGTTGTATTGGCATTGTCATTTAGTTGTACAAACTATCTAATTTCATCTTTAATTTCTTCTGTGACCCATTGGGTATTCAGGAGTATGTTGTTCAATTTCCATGTGCTTCTGAAGTTCTTGTGATTTCCTTTGTTACTGATCTCCAATTTCATCACGCTATGATCTGATAATATACAGGGGATAACTTTAGTTCTTTTGCATTCTGTTAAACATGTTCTGTGAGAAAGTATGTGGTCTATTTTGGAGAATGAACTCTGTGCAGCCATAAAGAATGTGTATTCTGATTTTGTGGGGTGAAACACTCTGTAAACATCTGTCAAGTCCATTTGTTCAAGAACTTGGTGAGTTCTAGTATTACAGGGTTTATTTGTCTAGTTGATCTATCTATTTGTGACAGTAGGGTGTTGAAGTCCCCTACTACAATTGTATTAGTGCTTATTTCATTTTTCATGTCCATTAAAATTTGTTTTAGATAGCTGGGTGCATTAGTATTTGGTGCATACATATTTATGATTGTCAACTCTTCCTCTTGGATTTTTCCCTTTATAAGGATGTAGTGTCCTACTTCATCTCTCTTACTTAGTCTTGGTTTGAAATCCAATTTATCTGCAAATAGGATAGCTACTCTTACTTTTTTTCTGGTTCCTGTTACATGGAGTATTGTTTTCCACCCTTTAACTTTCAGTCTATGAATTTCTTTTTGAATTAAGTGTGTTTCTTATATGTAGTATATTGTTGGATCTTGCTTCTTGACTCATTCTGCAAGTCTATTTCGTTTTATTGGTGAATTGAGACCATTAACATTGATGGTTATAACTGATATGTATTGACTTATTCTTGTCATGACCTTTTCCTGTTACTAGAGTCTCCCATTTTGTATTTAATTTCTTGTCTTGCCTGATGGATTCATTCTGCTGAACTTCATGGGGTTTTGACCCTCCTAGGATATTGTTTAAATTTTTTTTGGAGTGCTGATTTGGTATTCATGAAGTTCCTCAGGAGTTGTTTGTCACGAACATATCTTATTTCTCCATCGATTTTGAAAGATAGTTTTTCAGGGTACATCGATCTGGGTTGGAGGTTGTATTCTTTTAGGGCTTGAAATACTTCACTCCAGGCTCTTCTTGACTTGAGGATTTCTATTGAAAAGTCTCCTGTGATTCTGATGGGCTTTCCTTTGTATGTGATTTATTTCTTTTCTCTAACTGCTTATAGTATTTTGTTCTTCCATTGGGTTTCTGGAATCTTGACTGTTGTATGCCTAGGTGTAGATTTTTTTGATCATAGATAGTTGGAGTCCTACATACCTCACTTATCTGTATGTCGAATTCTTTTCCCCTGCTTGGGAAGTTTTCTGCCATTTCTTCTGTGAGCAGTTTTTTTAATGTCATTTGCACTCTCTCCTGTTTCTTCATTGATCCTGGTCAGTCTTATGTTGTTTTACTTTGCATCATGTAGCAGCTGCTGGATTGATTTCTCTTGGTTCCTTGCTATTTTTAAGAAATCTTTCTTTTCCTGGTCACTAATTGCAATCCTGTCTTCTATATTTGATATTATGTCCTCTAATTGGCTCATTCTGCTGTGTAAACTTTCAAGGAGTTTTTAATCTCCTGGATATTTCTTTGTATCTGTTTTATGAATTCCATTTGTTTCCTATGCTGGGATTCCATCATGCTCCTCAGCTCCTCTAGTTCTTCTATCTGTGTCTGCTCTAGAGTTATTATCTGTTTCACTATGGACACCATCTCTGTTGTTATCTGAGAAATTATTTCTAATTTTATTTTTTCCAGATCCTGTTTCATTGCCAGTTCAGGGAGTGTAGGTGGTTGCGTTTCAGATTGTTCTATCTCATTTCCCCTTGGGGTTACCTTTGGTGAACTGGAGGTCTGGTTTTGAGTCTTATCTAGGTGTCTTCTCATTTCAACTTCTGCAGTCTGCTGGGCCTTTATTGAGGTGACTTTTTGCTCTCCCAGTGGGCTTCAATTCTCAACAAGTCCCAGAGAGGCCTTCTCTCTACTGCTCACCACTGCATCAATTCTGATGTTATCTGGGCAGGCCTCTGGCTGGGGCCTGAACACTTGAGCAGCTGTTGTCTGGGAAGGACTTGTTTGGTTTTTGAGAAAAATTTAGAAAATAATATGACAGCCAGGTCTTCCTTGCTTTGAAAATAAGGATATCTCCCCTCAAAAAACTAGGACTGGAAGTCCCATTTGACCCAGCTATTCCCCTGCTTGATATCTTCCATAAAGAATTAGAAGAATCATACCACAGAGATAAATGTGCACCCATGTTCATAGCAGCACAGTTTGTAA